CTTCCTTAAATCCTAGATATTTTAGGGTTTTTGTCACTGTTTCGTAATGGTGGCAGGAAATGAAGTAGGAGTGAGAGTCAAGAGGGCTGAGAGAGAGCAAGTCTGCCACCTGCTTAAATGCTGAATTTCTGTAGGTGGGTAGTATTGCTTTGAGCATGTACCTGTGTGCACGGGCTTGGTGCTAGCACATCTAGACCTAGGAGATGCGTTTGTACAGATCCCCCAAGTTTTCGACGACTTAGAAAATCAGGTGTGTTGCGAGATAGGTCTGCGTACATCTCGTTAGGAGCTGGCGTAGGAGGGGTTGAAGCCATGATCGGTGCTCGAGTGGGGGCAGTGTGTGGAAGCTCTGAGGAGGAGGCAGAAGTTGTTAGGCAAATGTGGGATTGTGTCACTGGTGCGCAGGATGGCTGCTTCTCATAGCTCTTCTGGGAACAAGCAGGGGCTGAGCTTTCAGCAGGGCATGGGGAATAGAAGGAGCCTTGTGATGGTTCCTTCTCCCACCAGGCAGGCAGCGAGCTCCTCGCAGTGTGTCCCCTGAGCCCCTGGGTGTGCGAGGGGAGCATCAGAAGATGCGGCTGCTGCTTGTCTTGGTGGCAGGTCCTCTAGGGTGACTGGGGCCAGAGCATTTGAAGAATTAGGGGTCCTGACAAATGTTATAAAAGAGGAAAAAAAAATGACTAGCTCGCAGGGAGAGAGTTACTCCAAACAGTTCCCTCCTTGTGACCCCTTGGTACATGCAAGCAATGAAAGACAAGCTTCTTCCTGAGATCCTTGGTGCAACTCTTCCCTGTCTTCTGCATCCAGTGTGGAGAGACCCTGAGAAGACACTAACCTCCCCTCACAAAGCAATCTATTCAGCCTGGATCATATTTTTAGCAAAGCACGATTCTTCTTCAGTTTCAAAAGTAGCAAGTGGGGAATGCAGCCTACATCAGTGTGAGATGCAGAATGATCTCATTCAGGCTGCAGCATCTGTTTGGATTGAAACAATTAGCAGTGATATCAGGAGATCTGCATTTTTTCTTGTTATAGCCAGAGACCATGGTAAACAAGAACTGTTTTCTCTGTGTGCTTTCTATGTCAGTGGAGCACAACTGAGGAGAGATGCTTCTGTTCTGTGTCTAGGAATTCAGACCACAAGCCTTGCATTTCCAGCAACTGTCTTTACCTTTATGCTTTGGAAGGAGTTTGCTTTTTCTTTCACAATCTTTTGTCATCATTAAGCTTTAAGCCATGTGAGCAATAGAAATACCTGTGTACTTCCTTTCTGCTAGTGTTATCTGAGGTGCTGTGACTTGTTGATATGTCAATCTGTTAAAGTAAATGCTTGAAAGGAAAATAGACCAATGAAAAAGAGTAGAAAACAGTAATTCTTGTGTTTGTGTGTTTTCTCTAGCATCTCAGAATACCGGTGCTTTGTGAAAGTTGTTTTTGCCATGTATCTCTTTTCTTTCTCCTATTTTCCCAGCTCTACCCAGCAGTTTGTTGGCAGACAGGATGCTCTGGCACCCAGCCCTTTAGCTGTATCTATTAGACGATGCTTCCTTATAATGTGACAGGTAAAATTGCTAAAAGACTTGTGAATCAGGGACTGGTATGCTAAGCAGGTTACAATGGTACCTCAGATGAGTTCTGCCTTTAATACTGTTTACCCTTTTCTTTAGACTGTACAACAGAGAGCTTCTGAGGGAAGGAACTTTAACAGGGTCTGTGATTTTCTTTTCCATTTATGATTACAGAAACAAGAGAATAAAGTTTTGGTTAAACTACTTACTGCCAAGGTTCCAGAAGTGCAGAATTGCTGATTAGTTTTTCCACTGCATTTTGAATGTTTGATCTGTAATATTCAAAAAACATGGTTGGACACATTTTTAATCATGCAAAGCATGAGTCCTGCCGCTTGTGATATAGATCCATCCAACAGGCACACAATCATTTCTAGATCTTGTGGCCCTAGGGAGGGAGGAGCACGGAGGGGTGCTGTACTGCTTGCTGTTCAGGGTCTGCCAGTGTGCTGGCTTCTAAGGAAGAGCAAGGCTGTGGGACAAGCACCTTCCTTGGGTGAGGTGGGGGAAGGCTGGGGTGGAGGAGGTAACGGCAGTTTCCCCATGTCAGATGGTCGAGTTTATCGTTTGCTGGAATAGGAGCGGGTGCAGCAGGGATGAACTGAACCCAGGAGCTGTGACAAGACACTTCCGAGGCAGTGGGGTGCGTGCGCTAACCCGTTTCTTTGTCACCCTGTTATTTATTCATCTTATTTCAAATAAATACATCAATGCGGTTGTCTGTTCTTTCTGTTGCTTGACTTCAGCAGAATTACAGCAGGGCTGCATCTGGTCCATTGCCGGAGTGTAGCTGATAGCAAAAGTTAAAAATGAAAGTGAAGAGCATGCACTTCAACTGTGGCCTGCGGGCCCTCGGTGCGGCAGCTCCCTGTGTCTATTGTTTTGCCAGCTGGCAGAACTGAGATGGCTCAGTGAAAACAACCCTTTGCATGAGGCAGTTGTGTGGGAATGGCCAATGGCAAGCCTGAATGAGGTTAAAAACATGTGAACTTGTTTCAACACAATTCCCTTTGTTCTTTTTCTAGTAGGCTTGCTGAACATTGCTCTCCTTCACTGGTGGGGTCCCTCCTCCTCGCTTCAGCTCCTGCGCTGCCTTTGCCGAGATGTGGCCTGGGAGCGCCGGGGTCTCTGGCAGCGCTCTCCCCTTGGCGAGGACACTGCGACTTGAGCGCAGTCTGTCCTGGGTTGGCAGCTTCGTACAGAGGGCAGCTTCCAGTAGATAAATGCATTCCTTGCGTAAGGATCTGATCTCTAGGTACTTCCAAAATAAAAATGCTAAGCGGTTGTCAACTCTTACCGAGTCTGCTCTGCACCTGCGGGTCTTGGATTTGGCAGCTTACTAAAATGCAGGACTAGTCAGCAGTCTTCCCTTCAGTTTTTATTTTGTATACTGAAAGAGACTTCTCACAGCAGTACATTCTAACAGTATGTCCTCTATAGTAAGAGCACCTTTTCCACACTTTGAATGTGTTGTAGCTACAGCATTCAGTGAAGACGGTCAACTTCTATCCTTTTAGGTTTATTAAGAATGTGATTTGTGAAAGACAAATTTCTTTGCTTCCTCTGGGCAAAACCCAGTCCTGTAACACGCCCAAAGTTGCATCTAATTTTTGAGAATTTTTTTAAGGTGTACAGAAATACAGAAGTGAATCGCTTGCATTATACTTTCTGCAATAGATAAGACTAAATTTTGAAAAGTGAACATTATCTCTGTGTTTATAGTACCTGGTAGACTGAAGATTGGCTCTGACTCAGGCCTTTGACTGTTACAGTAGTGTTGCCAGATGCAGAAATAAAGCTCCTCAGCCCCAAGAGCAATTGAACAGCCCATGCATACTCTGGAGTTGGGTGGAGATATTTGTATGTGAAAGGTCCTGTGACTCTTCACTCTCTAGTCCTGTGTTCTCTGATTTGGCTTGCTTTTATTTACCTTGGGTTTCCCTGTAAGTAGCTTTCCTGCAGCAAGTGGTGCAAAGACACACCTTTGCTTCTGGATCCTTCTTTCAAGAAAATGCTGAAGCCCAGCATTTCAGCATAGCCTGGAAGTGACCCGTGTTTGAGCCCACAAGGGCAACTCTGCTCTGGGAGACTGGGGGATCACCCAGCTGTTTTAGCTTCCTTGGCTTCTGCTTCATTGCTTCAGCAAAGGCTATGTTCAGATCAGCTGGTAGTCATCCAAGAGGAATATGATGACCTGTAATAATCAACTTCACCTGTACTGCTTGTGATAGAGTCATTTCCCCTGTGCAGGTGATCCCTGCGGCTGGGCAGCTCTAGCAGATGATTGCTAGTTGTTGAAGGAGAGAGTAGCTGGGGCTTGTAGATATGCTGGCCGTGTCCCTGGTGGGACATGAAGGGTGGAGTCTGAGCTGGTCTTTGTTCCAATGGTTAGAATTTGTCTTTGTGTGGGGCCAGAGTTCTGGTTGTGCCAGCACTTTGGAGAGCAGACAAACAGTGTCTGTCTCTCTGGCTACAGCAGTGATGTCCCAAAAGCAAGATGCAAGTCTTGACTGCTGTATCTTAAGAGTGGGGTGATGCTTCTTTTGAGTTGACCTCATAGTTTTTATGTGTTAAAACAGTCTAGAAGGGGAAGCAAATGAACTAAATCACTGCATTTAATTCAGTGAAGCTGAATTAAACTTAACACAATGGTACAAGTTCCCTCTCAGACTGTTTATCTAAAAAGGTGAAGGTAGATGGGAGAAGAAAGAGAAGGATTTAATTTCCTTCAGGCGAAACTTTGTTTTCAAGAGTTTAAGGGATGCTGCTCTAAACCATATGTTGTGTGTTTTTAAATGTCCTAAACTGTCTCTGCAAATGCTTGCTCTTGAGCGTGAGGACTATTTCTGGACCTGTTGCCAAGGCAGTGCCAAGCTTCTACTTGAGGCTTACACCCTTATTTCTCTTAGATTTAGCTGTCTTGTGAATGTAGAAATTGTTCTTGGCCCTGTTTCTTAAGTATGTGGGACTACTTCTGAAAGATAGACAGTACTCTGTTTCTTGACTTCAGTGATTGCTGAGGTTATGCAGCACCTCACGGGAGTAGGATAGTGTGATTAACCATGTACAACAGAGTTTTGCTGGACTCTTAAGAAGCCAGTGCTTCTGAGACTGAAGGGAGGGTAGTACTCAAAGGTGGCTTTAGTCTGCTATTGCATTCCAGTAATATTCGGCTAGGTAATATCCCTGAGTATCCCTGTTCATGGCCCTGGTAAAGCGATGAAGTATCTGAGAGGCAGGAGGACATGAGTCGTGCTGTTTTCTCATGGACAGTATATACAGAGGAATTCTCACAGCAACTAGCTAGAAGCATTTAGGAGCACTGAAGAGTTGTACTGAGGTTGCTTGGGGATCACATGCTTGGTCATGGTCAGAATCTGTTCTGGTGCTCAATTCCTTTTAAAATGTGGTGGTTTGCTTCTTTTCAGAGAAGCTGAATCATTCAAGGAACAAGGAAATGCATACTATGCCAAGAAAGATTACAATGAAGCATACAACTATTACACAAAAGCCATAGGTAAGAACATTTGATGATAATATTAATCTTTGCTGAAGACCATGTCTAAAAATCAAAGCTGGTTATTGATTTAAAATATACCAGCAGAGTTTCTAACAGCACACACTGGATGAAAACTTTTTGCCTGCTTTAATTACCTTGCAAAATTTCACCAGATTGATAATGCAACTCAGTGCCAATGTGGGTGATTGCAGCAGTTCTTTGTTTCTCCTCCAGCCAAGATATTCTTAACATGAAACCAGTCCAGCTTTCTCTCTAATGCAGGGTCAGCAGTGCTGTCAGACTGAACGCCACAAACTTTTGTTCTATATGAGTTTATTCCTGTGCATAGTGTGGGGAGCAATAGTATTAGACTTGCTATTCAAAACAGCTACTTGACCATCGTGCGTCATCTTAAGCCACTCAGGTGACGTTATAGATCGGGGAGGGAATGTGAGTTTTTAATCCAACCACAGCTTTTTAATACGTTCTACAAGTTGTATAGCTGCTTGCATTATACTAACAGTGAGTGCTCTTACATCTTCTCCAGATACCTGTCCTAATAATGCCAGTTATTATGGTAACAGAGCTGCCACACTCATGATGCTGGGGAGATTCCGAGAAGCACTGGGAGATGCTCAGCAGTCTGTCAGATTGGATGATAGCTTTGTAAGGGTATGTGAAAAATTTCATGCTTCTTATTCATGTCTCAATACCCTTGTCTCCACCTACTGCACCTCTTGCAACTCCCTTTTAACTGTCTTCTCAGGGCCATCTACGGGAAGGGAAATGCCATCTTTCCCTAGGGAATGCCATGGCTGCCAGCCGCTGCTTTCAACGAGTTTTAGAACTGGATCATAAGAATACTCAGGCACAGCAAGAGGTAAGAGGTTCTTAAAATTTAAATATTCCCAGTAGATGAGGCTGTCAAAGGGAATGGGTTGAACTAGTAAGCCTTTCACTTCAAATTTGCAAGGTGGAATCACAGTCATCATTAGTAATGATACTTTGCATGCTGTGAGGTAATGGGAAAAAATGAGATGCTGTCAAACTCTCTATATCTGTTTTTCAGTAGACCATCAGGTCGCACAGTTACTTTTGTGTGTGATTGTCTCTTAGCAGAAAAGCATGGAGGCTAAGCTGGTCTTTCACTCAGCACTCCAGAGGAGAAATGGTGAATGGTAGTAAGGCAGCAGGGAAGTGGGTGGTGCAGTGTGTAGAAGGTTGCTGCCACTTTTGTATCTTATTTGCAGGGGTACATTTTCTTGGGCTACCAGTTAGGTCACTTGATTTCAAACTGATTTTAATGCTGGCAAAACAATTCATGTAATCTGCATTATTGTTCCATGGTTGGCAGTAGTTTTTGCTCTGATGCTTTAGGGATTGGCTGCTTAAATGCTACTTGATGGTGTTCTAGAGCACTGACTGTCCTGCAATACTTGCTGTGTTCTCCTGTCTTTCAGCTGAAGAACGCCAGTACTGTGCTTGAGTATGAAAAAATAGCTGAAGTGGATTTTGAGAAACGGGATTTCAGGAAGGTAAGATTAACTTGATTGTTTGCTGTAGCATTATGAACTGACATATTTTATGTGGCCAGTTCAGCCAGATGCATGTCTAATTTCCCTGCCTAATATTAGCTGGGGCCTAATGGGAGGTGCTGTACAACATACTTTTGCTATTGAAGCAGGGCTGTCTTGTGAACTGTAATAGTTGTGAAAATGGCAGAGCTCATGCTCTCTTAGCACTGAATGAATGAAAAGTGAAGAGGGTGACAGGCTCAGGCTGAGTATCCTCTATTACTGTTTGCTTTGCAGGGTGAGTGGAACCATGAATGAGCTGTTTGATACAGATTTTGTCAGCAGCAGCGTTTGATCACGCTTTGCTCCTAAAATGCATATCCAGGATTCTTCTTTCTCAACTCTTTAATTAAAAAAAAAAAAAAAGGGCAGTCTGCCAGTATTATAGTGAGGGTCATTGAAGGAGGAATGCAGATCTGCGTGGGGCATTCTCTATTACTGTTTCTAAATCTTTCTTCCCAAGGGCTGTAACAGGATGCAGCTGGTACTGACCTGATATAACAAGAAATGACAGCATGAAATCTGAAAGGCAAAAAACACTTCTCATGCAACTGTTTCTGTTCAGTGGATGCATGTAAGGCCCAAGTTTGGCCCAGAAAGGAGATTGTCCAGCACATTAAGCTCATTGTTCTGGTCACTGACTCTTAGGCTAAGCTCAAGATTTTGGAAGGGTAAATCCCAGCTTTGTGTCACCTGGTTATGTGGAGCAAATGGGATGTATGGTCAATCTGGATTTCATGTGTAGGAATTGCCCTGCCTGTATTGCATGTTCTGGGCTTTTGCATCTGTCCCTTCACTTCTCCCGTCTCACTGCACTGGGGAGGCTTGCATGAAATGTGATCTTTGTTCCTGGAGAGCTGCTCTTGCTCCTTCCTCACCCAGAAGCCATTGGCTTCTCAGTCAGGAGCACAGTGCTTCCCACAGCAGGCAATCGTGATGTCACGGGCTGGGGAAGCAGATGAACCTTGGTGAAACAATGACCCTGTTCTCATGCAGATGTCCCCACCAGAGAGGCAAAGATGGAAAAGACCTATTAGATCACCCTGCCCATTGCAGTTAGACCAATGTAAGATCAGTCCCTGCACTGTACTTTTTTGTGTTTTGTCCAGTCCAAACTGTCTCAATCTATAGAATTTCTGTCCTTCCCATGTGTCTTTATAATGCAGGAAACAGGGGCAGAATTGTCTTCCTTGGCTTTTTCTTCAGGGCCTACAATTTCAGAAGAGTTAAAGGGATGGACCTTCTACAGGTGTCCCTTGAATTTGTGTAGTGCTATGTCATAGTAACATAGCAGGTGCCACAAACCTTTGTACACAAAGCCCTTTAAAAGACAGGACAAAAAACCTGCACATGAGGAAAATTTTCTAATGAAATATGCCTCCAGCAGCAGAGGAAACAGGTGTCTGCACGCTTATCTTCCTGTTCAAAGACAGATATGAAATCTCAAGTGTGGTAATGGTGCAGCCTTTCAAATTAGGCCTTTGGCTATTTGCTTTGCTCACATTTGTGTTTTTTCTCACACCAGGTTGTGTTTTGCATGGATCGTGCTTTGGAGTTTGCTCCTGCTTGTCACCGATTCAAAATCCTCAAGGCTGAATGTTTAGCGTTATTGGGTCGCTACCCAGAAGCACAGTCTGTAGCAAGGTGAGTGTCTTAAGGTCTAGAGTTTGAGGAATAGCTGATGGTATGTCCTGGCGGCTGCTTGTTTTCCACAGCCGGAAATCAATGAGGGGATATAAAAAAAGAAATAATCCTTAATGCAAATTGTGATGAGGAAGGGTGTATCAATTTATCCCCTTTAAAGGTAATCTTACCAGGAAACTATTTAGACTCAGTTAATAACCAGCAGTCTTGCTTGAGCAAGTTTCCATACTTTTTGCACATCTGTACCATAGGCGTGATAAAATAACTAAATATCTCAGCAGAGGAAGAGTGCTTTTGGAGATCAGAAGGAAACTGGAATAGGGAAACATTTTATTTTTTTAATATGTCTGTTACAGTGACATCTTACGAATGGACTCAACAAATGCAGACGCTCTGTATGTCCGTGGTCTCTGCCTTTATTATGAGGACTGTATTGAGAAAGCAGTGCAGTTTTTTGTCCAAGCACTCAGAATGGCTCCTGATCACGAGAAAGCATGTCTTGCCTGCCGTGTAAGTTGTGGATGCTGGGGATGGGACTGCAAAATTACCTGGTTTGGGGTTTTGTTGTTTGGTTTTTTTTAACCAAACACCTAACTTAGTTCTGCTGGATCAGTCCCTTCTTCCTCCCTCAACATTATCATTCCCCAGCTCTCCAGTAGCAATTAGTGTGTCAAAGCCTTCCCAAAGACAACCAGCTGCTGCTTGAGGTAAAACTGAGTTGCAAGAAGCTCTTTCTCAGAAGGCTGTGATACTTTGAAGACTGCTCCCTTTCATTATTCTTTGTTCCTTGATCAGATACAGGAGCAATAAAACTATGTCTATCAGTTCTAAAAGAACTTCTGACTTTCAGATTCAATATTAGTGCCTACAGGTTGACTTGCATTTAAACACTCTTCCTTTCATGTTGCTCCTTCCCTTATTTCTACTCTGTTGTAGTTCTTTGACTGACTTTTAAAATCTGTTTACTTGTATAAGCTCTCAAAAAGTGAGATCCCGTTCCTATTTTTTTTAAATACATAAATTTACTTCACTGTCATGTTCTCATCTTAAACATTAGGCAAGCTTTGTTCCCACAGAGAATGCCTGTAACTAGCACTGGCTGTTCCTTAGCGCTTCTCTTGGGGGAAGGCAGAGTGCTTACAGCTCGTTTCAGCTGCTGTAGCAAGGCTGTGACTTTTGTATCCTGTAATGGTGTCTGAAACCAAATTAGAACAGTTATGTTTCAGGACCCTCACCCAGCAAAAAAAGGTGCTTGGTACCCCTGAACCACTTACCTAATGTCCTTATCCAGGGTTTATTTTCTTTTAGAATGCCAAAGCACTTAAAGCAAAGAAAGAAGATGGGAATAAAGCATTCAAAGAAGGAAACTACAAACTAGCATATGAACTGTACACAGAGGCACTAGGAATAGATCCAAATAACATAAAAACAAATGCCAAACTCTACTGCAACCGGGGAACAGTTAATTCAAAGGTAAGAAATGGTCACTTGGCAGGTAGTCTTTCATCATATTCCTCACCACATAGTTTCTAAAATGGAGAACAGAAATTTTGGAAAGCATAAGCTCCTCTGACTGCTGGGGCAGCTTAATCTTTCTAGTGCTGTAGGCAATGTTTCAGGTTTTTGTACTTGCACAATGATTGGATCTGTTCCAAACAGCCAACAAAGTTGACTCCTGAAGAAACAAAACTCAAATGCTTGGGCTGCACAGAGTGGGAGGGAGAAGAGGAATGTAGTTTAGCCTTATATTAATCAGCATAAAGGCATCCTTATTTGTTTCCTTCCTGGTAATGAGGAGATCTATTTTCTTTTCTTATTCTTCTTGTAGATCATCTGTCTTGCTTTTTTTTGATCTAAAAAATATGACCTAATTTAAAAACCCTGGACACTTTTTCCAGGTTTGCTGTTGCATTTTAGTCATGCACTATCCAGAGAAAGTCAGTCATGTGATTAGTGCTTCCAGTTTCCACCCTGCATTTCCTCTAGGCGTGTTTCCTCCTCAGCTGTCTCTGTGTTGATGCGTGCTCTGCCAGCGTCGAGGCTTTTCAACACCCCTGCTTGGTCAAGAGATAGAGGCTATTCTCAGAACCTGGGAAATGGGATGATCTGGAGGCACCAGTAATGGATATTTTACATGGCTGTTTGTGTCTGAAAACAAACAATGCTTTTTAAAAAAAAAATCTTTTAAATATTTTTAAGTTTATTTTCCTGTCTGGAAATTAGTTTGGACACAGAATAACTTGATTGTCCGATCATTCTAAGGAAGACTCTTGTTTCCAGGTGGTGTTTCTTAAAGAGAAGCACCATGTAGTTCTAACATTTTGCTAGCCAGGCTTCTAATTTTTCCCTAGGGAACAAAAGCTCTGTGTTTTGGGGGGATTGGAAAAATTTCCTAGATGCAGACACACAAAACAGTGAGATTTTTCCAAGATTCTTTACACATTTCAGTTGCCTAAAATCATAATGCTACTTAGCAGAAATTGTTCTCTGACTGGGATTCGCTTAACTTTTGTCTGACATTGTAGCTTAGGAAACTTGAAGAAGCAATAGATGACTGCACAAATGCAGTAAAACTGGATGACACATATATCAAAGCATACTTGAGGAGAGCACAATGGTAAGTAGATCTTTATAACGGACATGCTGAGCAGGTTTGTGGGTAGAAACCTCTTCCCTACAGCACTGAGTGACAGGGATAACAAATCTGAAGCTTAAATGAGTAAAGGGTCCTGTCTTAAGGGGCTTCTAACTTATGCTGACGAGGAGACAGGGGAAGTTCTATGTAGTCTGTCCTGCCTGCATGGATCTGGGACTGCCTATTGATTGTTGCATTTAGGCAGGTTTTGTTCTAAAGCTTGATTTATTATGTTTATAGACTAATGTAAGACATTCTGTCCCAGAGAGCCTCCCTCTTAAGCTTTTTCAGAAGGCCTGTTGTGGGTAAGAGATCTTATCCTGGCAGAGCTGTTCACGCTTCCAAGAAACCAGAGTTTGAAATGGGATGCCCTGCTTCCCATAAAGGAGAAATCAGCTGAGACTACATATTTCAGCCATAGATAATACTGCAGTGTAGCATGGTGAGGCTGAGCAAGTTGTACAAAGAAGTTTGGGTCTGTATGTCTCCTTTGTAACTTGGCACCAACCAGGGAAGTAGTCAAAGCTCTGTTCTGACTACAGATTTATGTGCTACTTTCCACAATACTGATTATTCCCCAGTTTGTGGCAAAGCTGCCTGCCTTGTAGATGAACCAAAACCATTATTGCAGCCTTCCTGTTGTGCATTTATTTTAATTTGCAATGTTCAGTGTTCTTCTCAAGCTCTATCTCAGTAATTGCTAAATTATAGTAAGTAGTTAATGTGTGAGTAAGGCTGAAACACCAATAGACAGGCATACATCCCTCTGAGGTGCCAAGATTGTCACTTCTAACCAGCGTTGCTAGTGTACAGCTCTGCACCAGCTTCCTTGAAATCTTGCTGGCTGGTATTAGTGCCTGCAGCTAGATAAAGTCATTATGAGATCGTTAAAGTAGAACTGGTGCTGCCAAGTGAGATTGCAGTCTCCACTTGGAGCCCAAAGTACAGGTTCCTGTGCCAGGATTTCTCACAAATAGCAGGTGTCTGGGCTTCCATTCAGTCTAGCAGTGACCCTTTGTGGGTTCCTTAATGATTGTTCTTTCTGCAGTCCAGTGCATATCTCTTCCTTTAATTCATATCCACCCACAAAGCTTGTCCCTGAACCCCCTTTTGATATTTCCTGTGAAGTACACCTTGGCCACCAGTGTTTCTTTCCACAGTTACATGGACACAGAACAATATGAAGATGCTGTAAGAGACTATGAAAAGGTTTATCAGACAGAAAAAACAAAAGGTGAGTATATTGGCATTCTTTTTGTGTGCATAAGTTTCCCTTAACTGGCAATTTTGTTGTTGTTGCCTTTGTTTGCTTTTTCCCTCATAATATGCTCTGATTTGCAGCCTTTCGCCCCAGCAGGACAATACCGGAAAAGTCCAGAGAAGCACTCTGAAATGCCTGTCTCCAAATCTGGTTTCTTTTCCAGCATTGAATGCTGAGAAGATAATTTAGCTTGTATCTAAATGCAGTGCACTAGATTCAGAATATCTGGTTATGGTTCTCATTCTTAACTGTTGTCTTGCTTTTTTAGTAGTCTGAAATGAAACAGTAACCTTAGTCCTTGTGGTTCATTTTCCAATTCTGGTTTAATAGCACTGAGATGTTCACCTCCATTTGGAAACAGTCTTAAGTGGACAGTGAGGCTTTAATTAGCTACCTGTAAATCCCAGTGGGTTGGTTACTTGTGGCACTTGAATCCTTCAACCCAGGTCATCCCAACATGTTGGTCTTCAGCCTCTCTTAAAGCAGGAGGCTGTACCTGACACTAAAGCCACTTTCCTTTGGCATTGCACTTCTTTCTAGAACACAAGCAACTTCTAAAGAATGCACAGGTGGAACTGAAAAAGAGCAAACGGAAAGACTACTATAAAATCCTTGGGGTTGACAAAAATGCCTCTGAAGATGAGATCAAGAAGGCTTACAGGAAAAGAGCACTAATGCATCATCCAGGTACCCACAAACAGTCTGTTATTAGAGCATGTGTTGTTGCTTTGATCCCTTGCTCCATGCATATGCCCTGTGCAACCATCACTCAGAGGCAGGAATAAATATGAGAGGGGGAATTTCTGGACAAATAGCACTTCTGACCCCACAGATCTAAATCTGTGGCAGTAGCTGGGAATGTGTAGCATTTTCCATTTACACTAAAAACAAAAAGCTTCTTTCCTGCTTTTTTTTGTGTCCCTAGACCGACATAGTGGGGCAAGTGCAGAAGTACAGAAGGAAGAGGAGAAGAAATTTAAGGAGGTTGGTGAAGCCTTTACCATCCTGTCAGATCCCAAGAAGAAGGCCCGCTACGACAGCGGGCAGGATCTAGAAGAGGATGGATTGAACATGGGAGGCAAGTGTTCCTTAAGATATTCTACCATGGCAGCCTTTAAAAAGATTAGACCATTTAGAGTCTGTTTTCTCCTCTAAAGCAAACCTCCCATTTGTAATAATCCTATGAATTGACTTGGTTTGGTCTCTGAAAGCATTTGAATACCAGATCTGCACTGAATGTTTCAAGTTGCAAACAGTCTAGGTTATATGGTGGATGTTATACTTGATCAAGCCGGTAGGTAGTAGCTGCCATTAAGCAGAATTCTTTCGTAGGAAGTGTGAAATAGTGTAATAGAAAGATTGTGCATCCCTAAATGCAACTTATCCAAAATTCTTAGGTTGCCCTTGTTACTGAAATTGTCTCTCTGACAACTCTTGCTTTTACCTGTTTTTTTGCTACTGTCAGTGGCTCTGTACTCTGCTGCTGTGTAGCAGTGCTCAGACAGAGCAAGCTGTTTATAGCTTTTTGTGTGCTTGTAAAATGCTTTATGAGCCCTCAAGTGACAATTTCTAAATTGTGAAAACTGTAACTGTCTGTTTCACTTCCACTCACAACTACCTTTTCTTCCCTGTAGACTTTGATGCAAATAATATCTTCAAGGCCTTCTTTGGTGGGCCAGGTGGCTTCAGTTTTGAAGGTAGGTGGAAGTGTTCTCCTGTCAGCTTTGAGTACGTAAGTACACAAATCACTTGACAGGACAGCTGAGTTTCCCAGAGTGGATGTGCTGTTTGAGGAGAGTATTTGACTTTTCCATGGAAAAGTATCTAACCTCTTGGAAAGTTCTATCTGCACAGCATCCCAGCTGATGGCTGGTTCTGGTTCTTTTGTGTTCCAAAGCAATAAAACCCAGGGGTTCCCTTTTCAAGAAGTATGTGTAGGCTTTCCCATCTAGAGTGGTGCTTTGCTGCTTAGGAATAGTTGACCATAACTTGGATGCAGCTGCTGGTGCTAAAGCAACAAAAGGTGATTCTTGGTCAGAAGTCCTGTGCATATGTATCACACAGCTCTCTCCTCTGGTTTCATGTGTTATGAATGTGAGTCATGTGAATCCTCCTGAGGGCTTCTGCCTGCAAACATTTTGAGGTGACTGGAGGCAATGAAGAAGCTGTTACTCACTGTCGTCCCTTCAAACCTCGTGTGTGGTCAGGCTTTCTTCACACACCTTGGTGTAGGATGGCTTTGTACAGTGTTGAGTGAGCTCTCAGCTAGCATCAATATACCCCTTAGGGAAGCGTGTGTTCCTTAAGGTCTTTTGTTAAGTGAATTTCGAGAAGTCTTGCATGCTTCATGTACTGTTTACCTTCCTCTTTGTAAATCTGCCTCCTCTACCCATATGGTCAGTGGTCCACTCTTGTTGGAAAGTAGCTACTGGAAATGCATAGCAAAGATCTCTCTCCTACGTGTTCAAATGCTTTTCTTTGCATTAAGTACCAGCTTGGCATCAAGCTACTGCAGGATAGTAGTTAACTGTATTGTCTTTGAATTTTGGAAGTGCTAATATTTTTCATTTTCTTTTTCAGCTTCTGGGCCTGGAAATTTCTTTTTCCAGTTTGGCTAAAAAACAAACAAACAAAAAAAACACAAACAAAAACCACACATACCTGATCTGCTTATTTTAACCTTGAATACGGACATACTTAGACTCCTTCCTTCATCATGTCTCATTGTACTTAGAGCAGTTTCATTTTTCTCGGTTGGAGACCTCTGTTTTGTGTGCTTTTGTGTGTGAAGAGGAAACCAGCTCGGGGAGGGGAAGGCTTGTGAATTTTGTTTTACTGTTAACTTTATTAAAAAAAAAAAAAAAAATAAAGCTTTGAATCTTTTGGTCCCTCCATGCTGGCCCGTACTTTCAGACTGTTCCTGCTCCTCAGCAGAGAGGATTTCCCTGAAGTCCTCTCGGAATCTTGACTTGTAAGAGGGTGAAGTAATCTCCTATTTTGTTTTGGTTGACTCCAAAGTGCAGTATGGCAGCATGTCTGGGGTTTGTAGTAACTTTTAAGTTATCTTAATCTTCTGAAAATATTGCCAAGATTCAATCAAGTTTCATACAATTGCATTTTACCTGCCAGCTGTCTTTTTTTTCTTCTTTTTTTTTTTGCCATGGTTCTACCAGAATGGTACACTTGGGCATTAACTTCAATGATAATGTGTGAGCTTAACAATTTTGTATCAGAGAAATGCTTCTTTGGATTTAAAAGAGCAGCTTATGCGAGAATTCCCTGTGATGCAGCTAGAATTAAGGGCTTTGTGTTGCCACTCCAAGAATTGTCCTGTTTAAGGGAATATTGAATTTACTCTGGGCTGAATTTCTTCACCGTACTTTTTTTAATTAATCCACTTGAACATTTAATATTTGTGCTAAAACTTGATTTTGTTGAGCTTGATGTTTGATTTCGTGTTACTGATCCATAACGTGGATGACCTCTTTCTAGCTCTGAAGAAATGCAAAGTAAAATTCAGGTTAATAATTGAAAACGGTTACTGTGTGCGTGCAGCAGTGTGCTCTCGTAATGTTTACAGGAACTGTACAGATATGTTAAACTAGTCAAGTAGTTTTCAACTAGAAGTAATTTACTAGTCCAAAGAAGCAAGAAAATGCAAAGTCAAACTCTGAACTGACAGTCTGTCACTTGCTTCTCTTGCACAATGTCAGGGCAAGTGCTGGAGGGATGAGCTTAAAGCCTGGAGCTGCGTGCAGCTGCACCATCTCAAATTGAAAATGGATTTGGTTTGGTGGTACTGCCAGTTAACACGAATGCTGTTTTATTTTTCACCATAAATGTAGTGTTACAGCAAGATCACAGCTGGGAGAGGACTCTGCTTCCAGAATTCTTCCCTTTTCTCTAGAGAGTGAAGAACCTTTTTGACTAGGTGCTTTGTTCAAGTTAAGTACTGTCTGTGAAACGGTTCTGGAGCACAGCGGGTGGCATTGTCTGACAGAGCCTCTCGAGGTCTTGCTCAGAAGTGGGGTGTGAGAGAAAGTGTGTTGGCACTCGGCAACACCAGCGAGAAGGGCAGAGTCTTGGCAGCCTTGCTGTATCTGGAGTGTTTTGAACTGACCTGCAGTAGTGTAGTGATGTTTGGAGGGCTGAATTTTGCTTGGCTAAGAAAACGGGTGTTTATACAAATACATGCAAGACTCTTTCCTAGAGCAACCTGACACTAACTTTTATATAATATCTGATTTAACTTCTTACTGCAGGAAGAAAAACTGCAATGAATTCATTGCATGAAATGCTAACATCGTTGTCTTCCTTCCTTTTGAGGGCTGTACTTGTCCTGTTCAGTGGGACAGAGTTGCTAGACCACAATGCAAGTGAACTTCATTTCCAACAGTTGCAATAGTGTCATGGTGCTGCCGCCGCCGAGTACTACAGTCCTGTGGTTGTGTTTTGTCAGATTTATTGACAATCTGCTTTCATAGAGGGAAGATTTAAGGGCTTAAATTCTAGTACTGCAGAATAAAGAAAGAATTCTATAACTCACTCGAAAGTCAGCTTTGAAAATGAGCCAATGTTGAGTAATATTTCCAAAAACAGACTCTACAACATTTATTCTAACTTCCTTCGCACCAGTGTAATGTGATGGACTTACCCGGATTGCACTGAGAGCAAAATAAGGTCCTAGCATCTTTTAGACTCTGAAATGGTAATTATCTGGGGAATTGAAATACTGGTCTATGCATATTGATACTTCTTCAGTTCTCATGGCACTTGTGAGTCAGAGTTTACAGGACTTGTTTTAGTGTGGCATTCTGGATTCATAATGTCTTGTCCTGTGTGTATTGATATTACTGTACAGTTTGGACTTTCCTCAGTCTTTTATTACCATGCAGAGATGTGTCCTGCATTTGTCAGTGGTTTTTATTATTATTATTATTATTTCCCCCTCCCCCCAGTTAAGTATGACAGGCTTCCTTCTCTCCAAACTTTGAATGAGACCATTCCTTGGAGGACAGAAGCGCAGTGGCTTTTCTTCTGAGAGAGAAAAATGTATACAGCAGATATTTATAAAACTGCACATGAATGCATGATTTAATGTAGTTAAATATTAATATGGTGAGTGCCAAGACTTTTCTAAGGAGCGTTATAATGTGATTCAAAGTGAAGGCGAACACGTGTTCCCTTTTGCACAGAGCGCTGGCGTTTGAACGGCGTTCAGTGACTCTCCCGTTACCTCAGGACAGCAGCAGCAGCGTCTGGAGATAGAGGTGCGGTGGCATTGTAACCTCCATCGTGTCCTCGCACAGCTTGGAGACACGGAACTCTGTTTCTTTCAGAAAAATCTGCTTAGATGTGTGTTGCTTGAAACGTTGCCTTTCACACTTGGTAGTTATGGAACATTATTCATGGGTTGTATTTTGTACACAGCCACAGGGAAACTTAGTGCCATTTTTCTAGCTGCTACCACTCTGCAGACCTCCCTGGCTTCCTTCGGCTGGAGAGGAGCTACCAGACATAGGAATTTGCCACAGAGACAATGAGTAAGTATCTTAAAGTGGTATTATGCCTGTGCTTTTTCTAGAATGGTAAAGAGCTAATGGAGGTGATAGGAGGCGGTTGCTGTAGGTGATACCCTTGAAGCACAAGCACAGTGGGATACACATGCATCGAGCCTTATTTAGAAGCATACTGTTCCCTTTGGTGTGACTGTAGGCAGGTGGAAGAAACCAGTGATGAAGCCCTTCCTTTTAATGAGAAGAGTTGTCTTTCTGGAAGTCAGTCTTTGTAATTATTGAAAGGTTTCTTTTTTGGCATAACAGCAAGAGCCTTAATACTTCACCCTGAAACGTACCTAAACGTGCCCCCAGACTGTTTGTTCCACGTGCAGAATCCCTTGCTCCCTGTTCTGCCTGGTGAACAGCCCGAAATACAGACGCCAAGCAGCTTTTGCCGCACGGTGCGTGTTTGCCCTTTGGCCTACCAGCTCCTGCCCGGTGTTTCCAAAGGGGAATGGTTGGTGCTGTGGGAGTTCCTGCCGAGCGGAACGACCAAGAGAGAGCAGAGCTGACGTGGCTAAAAAAGCAAGACCGGGCTGGTGTGTAAGGGAGGGATCTTTTAGCGGATGTGATGGAAGTAATTGCTATTGAAGAGCTCGATAACTGGCAGAGAAGCTGTCAGCTTCCTCTGTGAAAGCTGTAAACTACAGGGAAGATTGTGTGTGTGTGGGGAGCATGGCTCTTGGCAGACCAAGCGTGTGAAGTGAGGCTCCGTTGTTGTGACTCTATAGTGTTTACAAGGAGATAAGGAATTGTTTGACTATTACGCTTTCCCTCTGATGTTTTTTTGCGTAATCATGATACTTGTGGTGTCTGAACTGCTGTAGGGATAGTTTCAAGTAGTGAAACGCAGTTGCATTCAAATGAAAATGGAAGCAATTTCATGCTTTAAAAATTAAAACATGCATCAGTAATGCTAGTGTGTGGGAGATACTTGCATGTATGATGGTCTGACCTCTAGACCACAAAGCCTGGTGTGTTCCTTCTTGTGTGGATTTACTTTACAAATCTGATGCTGTGTCAGCTCCACCTTTTCCCGGGGAGTATTGAGAGAGTCCTTTCCAGATACACTGAACCTGGACTTGAAATCAGCTGTAAAGACCATTAAGATGCTTCTGGCTGCCCACTTTGACAGGCTCTTCATTGTTTCGGCTACACATGCTACATAGGAAAGTACATGGTTTCATTTGTGAACTTGGAAGTGTTGCTATAAAGCTGGATCCTTAGTGCTAAAGGCTTCTGACTGTTTTGTAAATACATTAATGCAAATTGAGAGAAAGGAGAAAAAAAAAATGTTTAGGGACAACAGTATTATTATCCATGGAATATTGCAAGTCCCTCAGCTTTCTGTATCTGAAGGGGATACAGAATGAAAGCTGCTGTGCTGTTGTTTCATTTCCAATATGGAAACTGGCTCAGCCCCTGTGCCCACCTGTGAGCGCTGGTCTCGAGCCGGCCATGCGCTGGAGGGCTGTGCTCGGCCGAATCGCTCTTCAACCAATTGAATGACCAAAGCGTTTGGACCACACAGTGGTTTGCTCTTCTTTCAAAATTCTTCCTCAGTTTCAGTAATAACTAAAGATATTCATTTATCTTCAAGTGGATGATTTTCATCCCATTTAAATTTGTGCCTTGTACCCTCCCCTCCCCTTTCTTAGGGAAAAAGGACAGCTCGTGTGTTGCACCTACCCGAGTTTCTCCGAGCAGTGCTGAGGTCTGTCTCGGGCTGTTGCAGGAGTGCTGTAACTAAGGCTGAAAGGCGACAGGCTGGATCGCAGCAGTTCTGTGACCCTCCATTCTCCTGGAGGCTGCTCACACGCAGCAGTACTGTATTCTGGAGATGTTCCTGTTGTCCTTGCTTACCAGGGCAGCAGGACCTGGGCTTGGCTTTGAAAGGCGATGCATAATGCTTTGGCCTTCCTCGACGTACCCTGGCTTTCCCCACTCCTGCAGAGTCAGGGACAGGATTATCCCCTCTTCTTTGAGTAGTGCTAGGCAAGTTTCACTCTAGCATAGATCTGACCTCTGAAGGAAAGCTCTAGTATGAAATGTGAGCTCTGAAATGTTTTAACCTAGACGATGCCAAGGTGAGGCATCTTCTGCAACGTGGTGTTACTGAGCTAGAGCTTTGGCATGATCGGGTGGCTCAGGAAGGCAGGAGTCTGTTGGGAGAGCTGGGATGCTGCCTCTGGCTGGGTGTGCAGCTTGGCTGCAGTTCTGGCATAGCCAATCTGACCTCAATTACCCCATCTTCCTCCCTTGCTTTCACTTAATAGCTCGTGCTTCAAAAGAGAAAATTGCGTGAAACAATGTTGGAGGGGTTGAGTGCGAAACAGCAAACCGCGCACCTTCATTGCATGCGTATCTGCTTTGTTGTAACGACATTAAGGAGTAGTCAAGACAAAACCAGACGCTGATGTGAAGCCAACTTAGAGAGGACGCTAGACCCTGTGCTGCAGTATTTATCTGAATCGAAATTCTGAATGTTTACCTCAGTGTAAATATCTTAACCTTTCCAGTGGGAGGAAAGGAGTATTGCATGGAGCAATCACTATCCCCAGCGCTTTGCCAAACACATCATCCTCTCTAAGACAGGCTTCACATCGGTATGAACACTGTCCCTCTTTGGACCCTTACCTTTCTAGGATGTGAATGGTAAAAATGTGAATATTTGTTGTTTACTTCATTAGGCATAATTCATAATGATGTGTTTATATGAAGAATATCACAGACTGAAGCAAAACCATATGCAATTGGTTTACTTTATTATAAACTGTATATGATGTACAAACTAATAAAAACTTAAATGACGACAGTCTCACTGTTGTTCTTGAACAGGCAAATAAACAAGATATTCCAGCTGTGCATTTCAGTGCTGGATGTGATCTGGAGCATTGGGTTGTTGCCAGGGCACTGGAGGGAGAAGGGGTCAGCGTGCTCCTGTGCTCCCACAGGAGCTGTCCTGGGCAGGCGCTGGTAAATACGTTTCTAAAGTTTTGATGGAACAAACTGGCTGGAGATTTCTGTTAGGAAAGGTCTGAGCTGAATATTGGGCACTTGCCCCTCTGCCAGGGCAGAAGCTAGCAAGGGTTTTTCTGTTGAAGGTAAGGGAGGATTATGGGTGCTATGGGTGTGTGTATATATAAAACTTTTTTTTTATGTTATAATGAGAACTTATCATCATCCATCTTTTTGAAACAGCAGGAACTATTTGGCCTTATTGGTAAACTTGCAGAGTGTTTACCAGATTAGCCCCAAAGCACTCCTTGCTTTTGTTTTAAACATTCAGAGGAGAAATGCTTCTTGCACAGGCAGCGTTGGGTTTCCCAAGCAATGGTTTCAATGCGCACCCAGCTGCAGGTAAGCTGTGCCCACGCAACAGCTCCTTTACCAATATGAGCCCAGCACATGCTTGTCAAACACAGTAAGTATTTACATATATTAATAAGGGATTAATTTCACTATGCAGTTCACCACACACTGAGCTGTAGCATGAGTTTAAACTGTTGTCCTGACCTGAATCTATTAGTTGAGCTTTGTGTTACAGTAAAGTAGTGACCACAGATCCACTGACCAACTGGCAGATGGTCTGGCTAAGAGCAAAACCATAAGTTTCAATAAAACAGACTTAACAGAAGTGCTTGATCATTAACTTTTTTTCCAGCCAATGGTTTAGGTTTGAGCAGACTTAAGTTACACAGTTATGATACCTCCACTTACTTCCTAAATTACAATGTTACTGCCATCCTAACTTTTAACATTCAAGTGCATTAGAGAAAAGTAGTAAAATCTTGCATGAAGTACAGTTCCATACTTCAGACATGATTTTAATTTCTATAAAATAAGATGGAAGAGACATTAGTTCATCTCTTCCACCCCCTGCCAAGGCAGGATTGCTCCCTACAGGACATGGACACTGGACAGTGCTTGGTCCAGCCCAGTCTGACATGTGAAGTGAAATGGCTGGAGCCATGCTACAGGAACTGAATGCCTCTCCTGGTATTTCACTTGTTTCCCTTTAAGTCCACGATAGCTGTCTTTCAAGACATCATCTGGCAACGGGCTTTCCTTCTGTCTGCTCACCAGCATGTCTCTTCCCTGCAATGAAGGAAGCGTTCACAAGCAAACAGCAAACATGAACTGGGGTAGAGGACCGCTGGCTGCAGGACTGACCTCTGATCAAGGCTGTTAAATACCCTGCTGCCCTCTGCAAGTTCTTTTCTTGGGGACTAAACTATTAGTAACTGCCACACTTGACAGAAGTGATCCACAACTGGGTCTTGCTGGTTTTTACCCAGTAGTTCAGCTACTAGAGTGACTGATGTCAGTGCCTCAGGTGTGGGAGAGGGGGAGAGACATTACACAGTTCACTTGGCTTCAGACCAGTTATGTACAGGCTTTGGTCTGCCACTGCTTATAGTACTGGCATGTACAGATCTAACGATTGTGGTTCATAGGGAAGTTATAAAAGACCATAGTTGATCTTCCTCTGAGGAAGAAAACAAGCAGAACACCACAGCTAATTCTCTCCAGAACCCTTCCATTAAAATACATTTGGTAGTACCTCAGTTATGGACATCAGTTATGTGACAGTTTTCCTTTGTCAGTCAAGAGTTGCTTGTTTTCTTCCTTGCTCTGAGGCCAATAAACTCTCTCCCCAGAAGGGCTTCACACTGGGGCTGGCAAAAGGGCTTACTTTAGTAAAGGTAGAATTATTTCTCTTTACACTTTTAAAGGTTACAGGAGTTACTTGCCTTTTAAAAACAAACAAACAAACAACCAAGCTACCCTGCCCATGCTCCTAGATGATGGTGCAGGAACTAAAAGCAGAGCCCCGTTTGTTGGTGCTCTGCGTTGGCACAAGTTTTCCTTTTCCATAGTAACCTGAGAATATTGCCTTCACATCGATCTTTTTAGAAAGGCTGAGCATCCACATACCGTTATCAAAATACAGCAGTTTCCCTCCTCCAATTTCCCCCACTTCATCCCCTTTGTTCCCTGCCTTTTCCAGTTTCACAAACTCCAGCAGATCAAGCCCAGTCTGGACTGCTTCGACGCCGTTGGCACAGCCAAGGGTGATGTGAGCCCGGCTGCCTTTTGGGAGGTTGTCGGTGGGCAGGATTTTATCAGCATCTCCAGGCCACAGCAGCAGTTGCTGTTCACTCAGCTCTACGCGAGCGCCAACAGTTTTTGTTGTGATGAACAGAGCGGAGATGGACAAGGTGAAGCCTTTGCCGTAGGAAGCCTTCACAGCCTGGGAGAAGAGGGAGACAAGTCCAGAACACAGTTTTACCTGACTGCAGACAGGTGGGATGTACAGCAGAGTGGTTGGTTTTATTGTCCACAAGCTCAGGGTCTTGGCTGATCACATTAGCTCTTGCTTTGACATATTTGAGATACTGTGTGCAACTAGAAGGTCATGGGCTGAAGTTCCTGCTCAGTGAATTTGGAGCTGGTTACATCTTTTTCCTTCACAAATTCCAATATTTAACTTGGGCTTATCTGTTTTGAAATAATTTAGCTAGAAGTGTAAATACCTTAATTCATCATCATTCAAAGCGAGCTTTGGAGATGATGCTGGAAGTCAGGGCTGGGGGTGGGCAGGGCAGGAGTATTTTATTCAGAAACTAACAGGCAACAGTCACCATTTCTCCCACAGTTATGACCTTTCTATTGCATAAGTTGCATGGACATACTTGCTGTCCCTACAATTACCCTCTCAGCTCCCACTGCATCCCCAGCCCACCCAAAAGGCTTGTGGATCCCCTTCTGGGAAAGGAGAGGGAGACTGGAGTCCTGGGGAGGAGTCAGAGCCCTGGTACTTACTTCTTGCTGTGCGTATTCCTCGGCTCCAGCTGCTTTTCCAAACTCGGTGTATTTTGTGGTGCAGTGTAAGACCCCAGGCGGCCTCTTCACAAAGTAGCTGGTGAGATCTATTTTTATTTTGGGATCTTCAATAGCATAAGCAACTGCAAATACAGGTAAGCAATATTACTATCAAAAAATGGTGAGCCTAAGTCCTGTCTCAGCTTGCTTCACTAACCTGTTCTTCATGTTTCAACTTTCTTACTGCTGAAAAGGCCTAGATGGGTAAATAAAACTCCCCCTTCCACCTAGGCTAACAGTGGATGCAGCTAGAAAACAGAAGCTTCTGCACATCATCATGGCTCGTCTTAACCTTGGTGTTGTACAAATCCCTCAAGGGACAAGGTTGTTCAGTCTTTCCCTTTTCTCTTTGACTCATCGCAGCAAGCAGGGGATGCCCAGCCATGCGTAACACTGCTGCCATCCGAACCCAGCTCCCTACAGTGTCAGAGCTAAATAGACTTCTTTGGAAAAACTGTTTCATTTCTTTTTACTTACAACAGCAACTTTGTCAACTATGGGAAACTGATTAGTAGCTTTAAACAGTTTTTCTTGTTGGTAACTTTAACTAGAAATTTACTTTAGAAGCTGACCAAACTTGTTCCATTTGCTGAATGTTAACATTTCATCAAGAGAGTAAGAACTTGGTAAGATACTTCTATACATACAGTATTTACTCTCCTTTTTGAAGGCTTTGAGACTCCCAAGCTCATCTAAGAAGGCCTGGCCAGCCTTCCTCAGGATCTCTGAACTTCTTTTGCTCAAAAACCACCCAAAATACATGGGTAGGAATTCCTTCTCCAAGCTCGGCTTCATCTTCTTCAGCTCTTCCACTGACAGTTTCCATTGATTCTTTTCCTTCAGCTGCAAGCAATCCATTCGCCACTGGGTTTTGGGCTCGGCAAAGATGACTTTGTACCGGTATTTGTCAGCAATATCAAAGAGTTGGTCCAGTCGTTCCCTCTCATGGTGAGTGTCATCCAAAACGATAACGCTGATATCTCGTTTGCAATAGTCAACTAGATCGTCATCCACCTTTGAATACTCTTCAGGAATGGCGCTTCTAATTAAAGGTGTTATTTTATAGTTATCAACAGAGATGACCTTGCAGGCATCTTTATACCTATCTTGAATAGCCTGGGCAAGAGTGGACTTCCCACTGCCAGGCAGCCCTCTTAAAATAAAAAAGGTTTTAGATTCTTTGACTGTAGAGATGGTATCTTCATCGTCAAGGAAGGGGAACTGCAAGCTTTCGGGTCTTTCTTTTGCTGATTGAGTAGACATTTTTCTAAATATTTTAGGCAGGAATGTGTGACTCTTCTTTGAGAAGCCTCTGTTCTGAAATGCAAGAAGAGAGGATTTGGCAGGCTAGCAACCCCAAGAGACCGCGCGCTCCCGCTGCACAAGCATGCGCTGTTGAGAACCTTTGCTCGGGGAAGGGCGACGCAGGGAACATCTCTACCCCCACGTCCCCCACCCTCAGCTGCCCTGCTTGCCTTAAACCACCTCTCAGAGCTACCCCGGCTGCTCCCGCAGCAGGGACCCGTGCCCTGTCCCACCACCCACCGGCACCAGCACCAGCCGTCTGACCTGAGGAGCTGAAGGTGCAGCTCCGCTCCCCGCTCCGGCCTCGGCAGCTTCGGTCCTGCCTGGCCAGGAAGGGGAAGTTTCACTGTCACGTGGCAGCAGCTGCAGTTTCAGAGGCACCACGAGTTGCCACAAAGCCACAGCCCAGGGAAGAGCCCTTCAAGTGTCAAATTTATTTCTGAAAAATAAACAACTGTGGCTACTAGATAACGAGGGTGCAGTGTGCTGTGGGGAACTCCACCTGAAAACAGGAAACAAAAGTCCCAGCAGGTTGTGACAGCTGCTGCAATCTCATCGCTTCATCTGAATAAAAAAGGCTGCATGGGGATTTAAGTCTGTTTAGGGACCCTCTGTCCCCATAGGAAAGGCTGTTTCTGAGTGAAGTCTGTGAGGATGCCGTCTCTTGTGTTAAGAGCTGCCATTTCTTTATGGTATGCTGAACATCAGCACCCCAAATGCCTCGGAGGAGGGAATTTGGGCTCCTCTTGTGATGAAGAGCAATTGAAATTGCTTCCGGTAAAGACAAATCCCTTCCCAGCAGCTGCTGAGCTGAACACGAAAGCGAAACCAGCCCTCTGAGCACCAAAAGAAATGCTCGTATTTGGCAGCAGCCAGCAAGCCGGGAAAAGCGCCGCTGGGGAGCTGGCGCTGGCTCTCCCTCCCCTCCTGCCAGCAGCTCTGGTAACTGGAATCCCAGATTAATTCCCAGCAGGGCCTGGGAAAACATGGGACTGGAAGGAAAGGAGGGATTTCTCCAACTGTGTGAGTTTTCAATTGCATCAACAGGGCAGCCACTGGTTTTCGGGTCAGTATGTGAACTCCTCACCTTCCCTCCCCAGCTGCCTCCTCACCCAGCCCAGCCCTCCAGCCGAACGCTGTGCCAGCAGCCACGGAGCGATGCTGAAGGAGTAAGTTTTGCCTTTGATGCAAAAATGGAGGGGTTTTACAAACAACACAAATGCTCTGCCCGTGGCAGAAAAATACAGCTTTCCTGTTTGCAGGATGAAGACATTGTGTAAAAAAACAACTGTTCAATTGACTAACTTTTCTGTCCCTTATTCCAGAACGTGGAGGTGGGTTTTGGTTCCAAAGCGCCCCGGGCCCAGGACCCCACTGCTTCAATGGATGTGTTGGACAGGGAGCGCTGCCTGCCCTGGGGTCGGCTACCGCGCAGCAGGCCGGGACGGCCACACCGGCTCCCGAGACCGGTGCGGGAACGAACGGGCTTCTGAGAAAAGCAAGGACCACGCGGTTCTCCTGGGACCCCCGCGTTGCCTTCCCCATGGATTCGAGGCTCCCAGGCCATCATCGCACGAGAGCTCGCACCTCCAGGCAGGGTAGGTGTCCCGTTATCCAGGGAACGCTTGGCCCGAGCGGGAACGGGCAGCGGCTGCGGCCAAGCCTGGCCTCACTGCTCCGGCGGCCGCGGGCTGCGGCTGGGCCGGTCCAGCTGTTTGGCCGAAGGCAGCTGCCGGTGACGGCGGTAACTGAGGCCGCTTTTCAAACGCGCAAACAAAAGAACAATAATAGAAAACACCCTCCGGCCCCATTGTTTAGCGGCCAGCTTGGAGGATAATAGTCGCCTTCAGGGGCCGGCCCGGCCGGACAATGGCCCCTCAGAGACCCGCCTCGGCGGGCGCTGGGCTCCCCGGGCGGACAATCCCCCATTGAGCCCGCGCCCCCGGCCCGTTCCCCCCCCGCCGTCCCCCACAAAGCTCCCGCTTGTC